AGTATCATTTGAAACCGTCATCAAACGAGATCCACATTTGCTAACATCTGAGTTTGCTAATCTAACCGTATTAATTTGAATAACAAAGAATGATTGAAAAACGTATACTATCCGGTTTGAACAATGAAACTCTAAAAGAAGGTCCAACAGGGTTAAAACTCATCCTTGGCTCTCACCTCCTTTATAGTTGTTCACTTAAATCCACATTATAGTGCAAGTTTTGGAATTACAGTGTAATCACAAAATTGTATGGATTACAGTACCTCTCCGTTTCTCTACTCCTCGAATTTATTAAAGGAATGGCAAACTTGATTTATTTGATGTCTTTTCTCTGAGTTCTTCTATCACAAAGTGTCTTTAAAAATGCAAGACACGTGATGTACTTACTACTCAATTTATGATCCTCTTTTTCATTTTTTGATCACTTCATAAGAGAAATCATGCTTTCCATTTCCTTCACTCTTATTTTATTTGTTAATGTCTCATAAACAAAGATGTTCTGAAAGATTTTGTCAATTTTAAATTTTAACAATTACTTTGTTCGCTCAACAGGTAATACGGCCAGATTTGATTTTTGATAGAGTGGACGATCGCTGTTTTTTCGACGTCAAATGTACATGATTGCAAAGGGCAAACTATTAATTGCAGTTGTACGCGAAATACTGTTAATATTGTGGAAATTGGGACTTAAAAGTGATCAAGCGTAATTTGTAGTAATAGGGTAATAGTTACCATCACAGTGCACTCAGTAATTAATGACCTTTTTTTCCTTTTCATGTTATAGTACTTGAATTTTGCAGCTTGTTAACTCAAGATGTAAAATTGGAAACTGTAATCATGAAAGAAAAGTTCACCGGGGTATTTTAAGGGGGGATTACCATTGCCTTTGCAAATTTTCAGTGACTACACCTACTATAAGGTACTCATACGGGTAAAAGTAAATCTATTCACTACCTCGCGTAGTTACTCTTTTTGAAACTTTCTTTTTTTATACAAGGTTTTTAAAAACTTTATTAGTGCACTAAGCGACT